AAATTAACAATTTTATTATTGCAAAGAGATTTTTCCATTATACAGCACGGCATTTATTACATCATTACTCTCAAAAACTTTTAAACTTTTTCTCGAGCATTAACCGTAATAAATAAGCATTAGTGCACAAGCATAAAAGCGGCACTTTCTACATATGGATTTTACGATAATCGGCATTATTATCTTTTTCCTGTGCGGGGTTGCAAAAGCGGCTTTTTTCGAGCTGCTTAAAATAATATTATATGTGTACTTATTGAAATCTTCCGACGTTCTAAAATAAATGTTATCTTGTGTGGCGGCTCTTTTTGACAGATTAAAACGGTCTAGAAAAATTCGTTACGCTTCCGTAAGTATCATGCGGTCGGCTTAGTACCATGGGATTATTGTTTATGTTCGGTTCTGTTATGCATTCCGGTGAAGGATAAGGACTTTATTAAAAGCGATATATTTGAATGATTTAGTTTTTAGTTATTAATCGGTGATGATATTTAGTATCAGCTTATTTATATCGGATGTCTGTACGTTCTGGTGGAATGTCCAGGTCCACGTCATTTGCATATAGGGTTTCTATACGTCTAGATTTCTGTCCAGGGTGGTCCGGTTGGCATTTGCAAAAATGACCGGGAAATCTAACCGTAATAATAAATTAACTTTGTTGAATATTGATTGGTTTGGTTTCATATTTTTTTCTGGTGAACATTAAAATATGTAGCATTTATAGTAACTTTTACCCTCAAAATTTCATTCCAATCACTAAAAGTACTTCGAAGAAAATCGCAATAAATCGAAAGATTATTAAGATTTTAACACCCTGTAGCTACCAAACAATCGAACCTATGTTGATATTGAGATGAACCGCCCATTTAAAAATAGACATATTTGTTAAAATTCAAAATATTCATGTTTAAGACACTCTGTACACATATTTAAAAATTATTGATTTTTAAAATATTATTCACAAACTAGAGAGCGGGAAATCAGGGACGACCAGAGATAGTTGTTAGATAATAGCTTCTATATAGACTACCATTCGAGACGCATTGATATTATTTTGGTTCTTGAATTTTGTGACAAAGAATGTTATTATAGGTAAAGTAAATGTTTTCTTATTGTAATTCTGTTCTACAGCGTTTCTTTATTTGATCTGACAAAGCAAATATATAACATGTGTATGCATTTAATGGAATCTATTTATGCTGTAAATAATTTCAGTGTAAAAGTAATCTAAATAAAATCGTTTACTGTTCCTTCGTGCCGATGTTTGTGGTTTGTGAGAATAAGGGCCTTGTTTTGTGTACTAACATTTTTCGTCCGTGCATGGGCGAATATCTTAGCTCGCCAAAGGGCAACCAGAAACAATAAATATAATAACTTATGATCTAAAGATATTTGCACCAGACCTTCAACTTTAGAGTCGATCTCCGCAACCAGGTGTTGTGAACATACATTTAATATGGTTATATGTATATGTATATTCGACAAATTGTATAAAATATTATTTTTACCCTTATTCTACGGCTATGCCTAAAGAATTTAAGGTACGAAAAATACCATCAACATTATTATTCTTCTCAGAAAGATGGGTGATGCAAATAAACAGAACCATTTTTGAGAACAGTTTCTATATCTTTCTCTTTTATTAAAGTTCAGAACAGCATAGTTAGATTCTCTGGAATAGTGATCATGGTTTCTCTGCCGTGCTCTTTTACATGTGAATTCCAGGCAGAGTACGGCACTCCTTTCATTTCATTTAATAAAATAAGTAGGGCAATTTACAAATTTAGCGTTTTATTTACATAACCTATTATCCTCAAATTTCTCAAAATATTGCTTCTGTCGAGGCGCATCCAAGGTAATCACATATAAAAAAATAGTTAACACTTTCTTTCATTTAAATTTCTTGTTATACCAGTTGGCCAAAATATTATCTCTTCAACTTTGTTGACGAATATGGGTTGTTACACTACAATATGAAAAATAAATCTTATTTTTACATGAGGAATCTCTCCACGAGAGATTGCACATGTTTTTGAAACACCCTGTTTAAAGCGAGGGTATCACTAATCTTAATAAAGGGAATTTTCGATTTTTAAATAAAAAAATGCGTTCAAAAGTTTTCCTTTTTCTCTATAAGCTACTGTTGACAAAGCCAAAACGGGCGATGACAGATTAACATGGTAATCGATTTTCCTTTCTTTCATTACATGGGGATTTATTAAGTTAATATGCACGCATTAGCCACGGTTGCCAGCCTCTTCGATCGGCCTTTAAAAATGGCGTCGATGATTGAACATTTTCATACATAATGCGCCGTCCTGCGACTTTCTGGCATGATTGATTGTACTATTAAATAACATAGGATATAATGATCGATTAATTTCGGTATTAAATTCCGACGGAGGCCCGTAGATATGTGGCTTTTTATTTTTGTGGAAGGCATTTTAATTGCTTTGAATAATTCAGTTTATTCAGCTATCATTAATTATATGAGCGTATTTTTATCTCTTATTCAGATTTAAAATTATGGCGTAATAATTTCGAACATATTTGAAATACCACAATTAAGTGTCGTAATTATTGTTAAGTTGATGTTGAGTTGAATGGGATTGAAATATTTTAACAATTTTTTTTGTTAAAAGTTAACTCAACGTGAAAAGAATACACAAGGCCTTGCTAAAAAACCTGCCTTTAACTAAAAAATACTGTGGTGTTGTCAAATTCGAAAATCGAAAATTAACGTTTTTGAATTTTCAATTCCGATCTTTGTTATAAATTATTGATAGTGAAACAAATACAGGGTGGCGCTTCTCATACGACGGGGGGGCTTCGGGGGGAACGGTTTGGTTTGGTTTGGTTTGGTTGCTAATATGACTTTATATTGAAATGAAATTTTGGTAGCATATGTAGGTTAGTTTAGAGCATTGTTTAAAAATATAGAGGATTCTACAAGGTGTCCCCAAAAAAAGTTAATAATATAGAACACCCTATATATTAATTGATTTTTGGATTATATAAAGGTGAGTTTCATCAACGAAGCATATGCCTAAAATGTAAGGATTTTGACATATTTAACATTTCGTGAAAATGAAGAATAAATTTTAAATTTCAATAACAGCTACCTAAATTTTAATTTGCCCCGTATAGCTTGATATTTAGTTAAAATAATCGTTGTTTGTTTGGTTCAATTAAATTAAAATTTGACCCGAAAAGCTATACAGGGTGAGACAAAATTAATATTGAACATTGTCGCATTTAAAAGCAAGTTACTCCTTTATTTGCAGTAGAGTAAAATACTCATCGGTAATAAAAAATAGACGTTTAAAATATTTTTTTTAAGTATTACAGAATTAAAACTAGATATAAACGTATAATTATGTGACAAAAATTAGCTAGAGGAAATCAAATGCTCAAAATGCTTCGTTTCCTGTTCACTGCATAAAATCATTCTCTTTTCAAAAGATCTTTTCGTGTTAAGAGGTATATGTAGAGTTCTATTTCGAAAAACAGCCACAATAATTGCTCTCGTGTTGTCGAAAATACTTGGTCGAGTTTTCTAAACACTGTCTTTAACATACCCCCATAAAAAAGTCGAGACTAGACAAATCTGGAGCATTTGAATATTCTGTTAAATGGAAAATGCGCACTGCAGTCACCAACTAATAGAATCAAATCAATTCTCTCTGATATAGGATAAGTTTGCATTTTTGGCAAATTTTTGAGATTTTTTTGGCTGGTACAAAATGATAACTAGTTGTTAAAGTTGAACTAATGTGACAGCTATGTTGAAGTAACGTCAGACCTATTACAGCCACCTAGATTTTATCAAATAATAAAAATCTACTGACACTAAATCATAAAAATGAAAATATCTAGCAAAATCTTTGTTTAAAGGTTAGACAACCTTAGTAGTATTTTTGAAAGACATGAATTCCCGATTGAATATCGGAATAATATACTGGGTATTCCGTTTAAAATAAAAAAGTAACTTGCTTTTAAATGTGACCAATTACCAATATTAATTTTGTCTTATCCTGTATAACTTTTCAATTTAATGGAATTCTCTAGTGGCGTGCGGTGACATTTTCAGAAGGGAAAGCGATTCGATAAGGTAATAAAAAAAGTCGAAAAGTATTTTTGTATACACTTACACCCCGTCCTACGTAGGCGACGAAACGCGGGACACGTATGTGACGTTATCAAATAACGTTTTCTTATGAACAATGAATAATTTCTTATGAAACTTATTAATTAGGTCTGTTATCGATGGTTAAAAAAGTGTCCTGCTAGAGGTGGGAATTCCTAAGGAACTAGTTTCTCTAGAGGAATAGTTCCTTAAATTAGGTCTTTAGTTCACAATAGTTCCCGATTAACATCCCCGTTGCTTGTTAATGGGTTTCGTTGTTAGTCAGACATCTGTTAACAGAGCCTAAAACCGTAACAGTATGATCTGTATAATTTTTATAATATACGAAATATAACGAGACGTGTAATTGCGTATGTTAAAAACATATAGGTGAGTTTTATTCCAGATAAAAAAAATAAAAAATAAACTCAAATCAGAGTTTAAAAAACTGTATCACAAATCCTAGGTACCCAACCTAGGTACCCAAACTATTTTTATTTTAATAAAAATAGTCGGCTGATTAAATGCCGGGTGTGGGATTCGAACCTGGTTGAGGTACTGGCCTGTACCTCTACGCCACCAAAATTTCTACCACTATCACAACCAAAAGAAACCACAAAGAAAAATGATCTTTGAAATAATGAGTATTTTTTATTATCTATTTGTTTAGTAAATGTATATTTGAGTTGTAAAAAGATGTTGAACAAAAACGTTGGTATTTTAAATTCGGTCAAATTTAATGTTCATCAAGCCGGTCCCACACGATGTGTAAACACCTTACAACATTGGACACATGAACATTTGCCACATCGTGTAGGACCGGCTTCACTATTTATTTTGATAATTTAATATGATAGATTATTTTTATTTGTTGCAGGAGAATGGGAATGATCATGGACGAGATGATGCAGAATGATCAAGGTAGTCCATCCTGTAAAGCTCTACCTGGATTAAGTCCAGGTCAAGCTCGTCTGTGCCAATTATATCTGGACCATATGAACGCAGTAGCGATGGGCGCCAAACAAGCACTGAACGAATGCAAACATCAGTTTCAAAATCGACGATGGAACTGCTCGTTGCTGGATGACGTGAACGTGTTCGGACCTGTAATTACAATCGGTATGTTTTAACTTAAGGACGGTCCACACTTGCTATATAACACTGCTATATAGCAAAGTTATATAACATGTTATATGTTTTTAGTCATATTTAGCAAATTTCGCTGCTATATAACTTGTTAGATGTTATCCATTTGTAGTCGGTAAAGATCAAAAGATGTTGTACAACACTGCTATTGTAACATGAAACAATGCGTCCAGACTTGTTAAATTTCTAGTTTAGCCGCTCATATTTTCAGGGATGTACGCGACAGAATTTTAGTGTGGTGAACTGATATTGGTTTGTTTATTTACTGGTCAATAATATCGTAAGATCGAAAAAAACTGCGTCCAATTGGCTTGGACATGACGATCGATGACATTCCCCATATAATTTTCTATATAGAATGACAGCGATCTTCCATTTTTTTCGATCGTATATTAATGGTATTCTTATATTAATGAATTAGAGCCAAGAGCAGACTTGTCAAGTAATTAAGTTGTATAGAGATCATACAGTGTTATGGGATATCCGTAGTCCCTCATTTAAAGTGAAATAAAAAAAAGCATGATGCATGGTTAAAAATTGCAAGAAGTATGTATTTGGAAAAATAAAAAGTTTAGAAAAAAATGCGTTATCCGAGGCGTTGTCTAATAGGTCAGTTTCAGAGGGAACAAAAGAAATGCAAATCAGGTACTGGTTTAGATGAAGTGGATAATTCAAAATGGTTTGCTTTTAAGTTATTAATAATGTTTTTAAAAGACAAAATCGCTTTTTTCTCCACTTTCTTTCTCTTTCTTCAAAAGTAATTACGCACGCCGCTGCTGCGAGCAGAACCTCTTTCTCGTCAAAGCGATTCATGATTACGAAAACTATAATGTGGACGGCTCCCGGGTTTTTAACATATTATATGTAGCTTGTTAAATAGCAATGTTATATAACATGTTACTAAATGTGGACCCTCCTTTAGAGTTAACTAAAATACTAATTTTAAACAATTGTTCAAATATACCCATCTTCAGCAGTAGTAAGTAGCTCGTTGGGTGGTGAAGCACTTTTTGCTGTAAATATTTGTCAAAATAGGGCACATATTCTTTTGCTAATATATCCGATATAAAAAATTGTGGAAGTTCATATACGGTTTGAAGTTGAACTTTAACCTTCAATAACTTTCAAAGGAGTCAATTAAATGAAAACTAATTTCAGACCTTTTTTGAAGACCGTTCAATTTCCTACAAGAATATGTATTGCTTTTTACAAAACGCTCATTTGTTAGAACGCAATGAAGTTCAAAAAATGAAAAAAAGTTTCCCCGTGTTATTTAAATGGGAAATAGAAAATATAATAATACGATGAGACACCTCTTAATATTAAGAGCTCAAACCTTATCAGAATTTCTTTTTCGTCATTCTGAACGATTTTTTCAAGGCAATTAAAAATATATTTTTTTGGCACACCCTAGTCCTAGTGTTATATTTTTGTTATTTTTAGTCCTATTTTCATGATTTTTTAGCAAGCTGTATATTATAATTATATTAACTTTAATTTGTAAAATAAAAACACTAAATCACCACAATACACCAAAATACTTTTACTTTTACACTGGACACGCGTTTCGCTAACCATATTAGCATCATCAGCAGATGATTATAAACTAAAGTACAATCTACAAGTTGAGCGTTTATATACTCGCTCAGTGGGCACCGAGTGGGCGTGGCAAAATCTAGCAAACCGAGTCAGAGCCCACTGAGCGTAACAGTTAGATTTCGGCCACTAGAGTAGTAGGAACAAAGAATTTGAAGGAATTGGACCGTTGACTCTGTTCATACTATCTTTACATTTATTAATTCTGATGCTTTCATATGCATCTAATTACATGTAATTTGAGACTTGTTTAATTAATTTTAAATTATTAAGATCTATACAATGTTCTTTATCAACAATATGTTCGGCAACGCAAGATTTATCCGGTCTACCATATCTTATCTGAGCTAAATGTTCTTTAAATCTAGTTAATATTGATCTTCTAGTTTGCCCAACATATTTCTGATTACAATCTTTACAAGAAATTTCATAAATACCCGACCTTTCCAGTGGAGGTGTTTTATCTTTTGGATTACCTAATAATTGTTGTAATTTATTATTAGCACTATACACAAGTTTATAATTGACATTCTTAAAAATTCCTTTTAGACCACGGGATAACTCTATCAAACGGTATCGAAAAATGTTTAGACGTATCTTTCTCCACTTGAAAAGTCGAATTTTCAGAAATCATTAACCTATACCTACGTTTTCTAATTAATTTATCAACTAGTGAAGGAGAATATCCATTACACTCAGCTACATTCCTAATGTAATCTCTTTCTATTTCATATCTTTCGTTGGAAAGTGGGAAACTAAGTAATCTATGAACTAAGAAATTTAAACTAGCTATTTTATGTTCAACACTATGATGTGATTCATTAGGAGTATATCTGCGTGTGGTCGTATTTTTCCTATAGATATCAAATTCCAGGCAATTATTAGTATTTCTAATAACTAATACATCTAGAAATGGTAATCTGTCGTTGTTCTCAATTTCGTGCGTAAATTTAATGGAAGGAAAACGATTATTTAATAGATATAAAATTATCTATGGTGTCTGAATGTGTGTCAAAAACAGCAAAAATATCATCCACATACCTAAACCATACTCTTGGAAAATACTCAAACTGATTCTTAGCCTCCACTTCAAACCTGCTCATGAATAAATTAGCCAAAAATGGAGACAATGGATTGCTGTACCTTTCCGCTGTTCAAAAAAGTTGTTATTAAATTGAAAACAATTTTGTTTCATACATAACGATGTAAGCTCAATATATTCACTCACAGTTTTGTTATCGAGACCATTTGCGTTCATTAATTCCTTCAAGTAGCCTAAAGTATGTGGAATTGGAACACTTGGGAACAACGAAGATACATCAAAGGAGACCAAAATTTCACCTTCATGCAATGTTATATCTTTAATTTTGTTAATGAATTCAATATTATTTTTAACGGAGAAAGAAGGTTCATGATCAGGTAAATTTTCGAACTCCCTTGATAACCATTTTGCCAAATTATAAGTCGGAGAACCTACAGCCCAAACAATTGGGCGAATAGACTTGTCCGGTTTATGAATTTTTGGCAAAGCATAAAATTTTGGCAATGAGGGATTGGAAAACTTGCAATTTCCTCTTTAAAGAAAGATCAATAAGGGTGTTACATTCTTTTAGAGTTTTTTTAACGTCTGCTACCATCTTAGACAAAGGATTCTTTTTCAAATTTATGTAGGGGCCATTATCGATTAAGTTGTTAACCTTATCGTAATAGTCTTTTTTATCTAATATAACAACCTTATTTCCCTTATCAGCTTTTAGATAGAAACAATCTTTGTTACGCAAACTCTATATTGTGCTCTTTGTTAGATTTTAATGAATTACTTGAAACGATATTTTTGATAACTGATTTCTACAAGCCTCTCTTGTAAATACTTTAGAAGCCTCGGGCAAGTGCTGAATAGCAGTTTCAACACCAACGACGATTACCTCCAAAGCGCTACCAGAGTTGGGCAATGCATACTTTAAACCTTTGTTTAATAAACTCTTGTTTATCAAAAGTCTGCGAAGAAAGATTTTCTACTATGTATGTTTGGAGGAAATCATCCTTGGTGTTGAAACTGCTATTCAGCACTTGCCCGAGGCTTCTAAAATATTTACAAGAGAGGCTTGTAGAAATCAGTTATCAAAAAATATCGTTTCAAGTAATTCATTAAAATCTAACAAAGAGCACAATATTGTCAAGAGTTTGCGTAACAAAGATTGTTTCTAGCTAAAAGCTGATAAGGGATATTAGATAAAAAAAGACTATTACGATAAGGTTAACAACTTAATCGATAATGGCCCCTACATAAATTTGAAAAAGAATCCTTTGTCTAAGATGGTAGCAGACGTTAAAAAAACTCTAAAAGAATGTCGATGAATATTTGATCTTTCTTTAAAGAGGAAATTGCAAGTATCCAATCCCTCATTACATTACAGTCTCGGCTGTAGGTTCTTCGACTTATAATTTGGCAAAATGGTTATCAAGGGAGTTCGAAAATTTACCTGATCATGAACCTTCTTTCTCAGTTAAAAATAATATTGAATTCATTAACAAAATTAAAGATATAACATTGCATGAAGGTGAAATTTTGGTCTCCTTTGATGTATCTTCGTTGTTCCCAAGTGTTCCAATTCCACATACTTTAGGCTACTTGAAGGAATTACTGAACGCAAATGGTCTCGACAACAAAACTGTGAGTGAATATATTGAGCTTACATCGTTATGTATGAAACAAAATTGTTTTCAATTTAATAACAACTTTTTGAACAGCGGGAAAGTACAGCAATGGGTAATCCATTGTCTCCATTTTTGGCTAATTTATTCATGAGCAGGTTTGAAGTGGAGGCTAAGAATCAGTTTGAGTTTTCCAAGAGTATGGTTTATGTATGTGGATGATATTTTGCTGTTTTTGACACACATTCAGACACCATAGATAATTTTATTTCTAAGTTAAATAATCGTTTTCCTTCCATTAAATTTACGCATGAAATTGAGAACAACGACAGATTACCATTTCTAGATGTATTAGTTATTAGAAATACTAATAATTGCCTGGAATTTGATATCTATAGGAAAAATACGACCACACGCAGATATATTCCTAATGAATCACATCATAGTGTTGAACATAAAATGGCTAGTTTAAATTTCTTAGTTCATAGATTACTTAGTTTCCCACTTTCCAACGAAAGATATGAAATAGAATGAGATTACATTAGGAATGTAGCTGAGTGTAATGGATATTCTCCTTCACTAGTTATTAAATTAATTAGAAAACGTTAATGATTTCTGAAAATTCGACTTTTCAAGTGGAGAAAGATACGTCTAAATATTTTTCGATACCGTTTGATAGAGAGTTATCCCGTGGTCTAAAAGGAATTTTTAAGAATGTCAAT